AGATAATTCCAGGAAGCCTGCAGATTTATTTCTAGTGAAGTTCAGGCTTGTTTTTGACTTTGAGGCTGGAGCCTGATTTGTTTAACCTGCAATACTCCGTGTGACTCCTTCCAGCCTGAACTTGGCTCCTCAACCTCCCACTCACTTGACCTGGGGTTGGCCTCACTCTGACACCAGGAGTTGTTACATGGAGCCAGCCTACAGCTGCTCTGAGTTCTCTGAGCCCAGCTGGCCCTCTCCAAGGTGGCTACTGGCCAATCCCCCTCTCCTGGGGGGTATCTGGACCCAATAACTCACTGGTCACTGCAGTCTGCTACGTCCACTGCTATGCTGCTCTGGTGCATCTCTCTGCGGAGGCCTCTGGGGTGGCTAGTAATCCCTGTGCACCTGCAGGTTTTAGCCCGCCCTCCCACGCAGTGAGTCAGGGCTCAGGGAGAAAGTGGTGCCTGCCACCTCCTCCTTCCGCATTGAGCTCTGTCTTTACTCTCTCTGTGGGCTTCAATTCTCACTTCAGATCTTTGCTGGGTCCTAAGGACCCATTACTCGCCTTTCATTCTTCATATTGCTATATTCCAGTATCTGGACACCAAATCTCTGAGAGGCTGTTTCTCTGCTGTTCCCCATTCTGTCTTCTTCCCAGAAGTTTGGCTTAATCCAATACCTTAGCCAAAAGTAGGCTTCAAATAAATTATATATATGATCTGGTACCCACAAACCACCTCCGGCTTGCTGCATCCTTTTTAATTCATTTTTACAATTGAGACAGGGTCTCCCTGCATTGCCCAGGTTGGCCTTGATCTTGTGATCCTCCTGCTTCAGCCTCCCAAATGGGGGCGAGGATTACAGGTATGCACCACCACATCCTTCTTGCTTATGTGTTACTAAGAGAACTCATCTACCTTAGTCTTGTGTGTTGGAAGGAAGCAAGACAAGATGTATAGACTCAATCTTCCTTTCAACTCAGAAGTGTTCCACTGCTTTCTAAGACAGTGACTTTCAGCATTGGTTCTAGTTCTGCCTTTGGCCCTTTGGTTCCATGTGCCAAATGGGGTTTAAGAGGCAGGGTGCCCCAGGAAGCAGACCTGACCAATCATTTTCTAACCTCAAGCCTGCCCCAAACTTTTGTTTGAGAAGCCCTGGGTCCAGCTCCACGCCAAGTTTGAGAATCCTCAAAACTTCACAAGTTTACGAATATCACTGCCTTTACAACCAGCTCTTCACTGGCAACCTCATGACCTGACTCATCACTTCCTTGGTTTGAACTATGGAGTGTCCCCTGCCAAGGGAGACCACAATTTGTCCTTTCCAGGTGGGCATGAGGGACTCTAGGCATGGCATAGTGCTCAACATACAGCGCCCCTGTCCCTGGTCTCCTGTCCTTTCCTTTCTTCAGGTAAATACGGGTAACCACTTGCCCAGCACCTTTAGCACCCTGAACACTTGGTCACATCCTGTCCCTACAGAACTGCAAGTCTGGAACCCTGGTGACTAAACACCATCCTGGGTGTTGGGACCTGTGCTGACAGCCTGGCCCTGCCTGCCCCGATGGTGACAGCAGCATTGCTAAGTCCCTCAGTGCTCACATTGCCTAATCTGAGACAACAGGATGACCTTCTCCAGGGTGCTGCAGCTGGTGTGGAATGGTGATGACGTGCAGCCTTACATCAGGGAGGAGAGGTAGGAACAGTCACCTCTGACCTCAATAAAGGACGTTCACGCTCCAGTGCCTCCCAGCCAACAGGCGCCTTGACATTTTATGTGATGGGATCAGTCATGACTGAAGGTGCTGCTGCCTTCAGAGTGAGAAGGGCCAAGTCCCAGACAGGCTTGCTCCCCCTGCAGCCTGTGAGGCAGGCCACGTGTGAGGAGAGGGAAGGTGGGGGACAATCCTAGGCAGGGACACAGAGGACACTGGCCTTGGATGAGTGAATGTGCTCAGGAAGCAAATCTGTGCAGCTCTGTGCTTAAAACTGGATCCTATGTGTTCTGACAGTAGGAACCTACAGGGTAAGGGACACTAAGAAACCCTGCTTCCTTAAAATGTGGCCGCTTGAGCCAGTCCCACGCTCTAGCACAGACTACCTGATGCTGGGTATTCTAGAAGGAACCAAGACTCACTGCTTAATGGTCATGGAGGCTCGAAGTCCAATGTCAAGTGGCCTGCTTTGGAAGAGTCTTCCTGCCATGCCACCCACAACAGAAAGCCGAAGGTGTGCAGGTGCAGCCTGTAATGCCAGCATTTTGTGACGCTGAGGCACGAGGCTCTTAAGTGAGAGCCCAACCTGAGCAGCCCAGTGACACCCTGTATCAAAATAAAAAAGGGCTGCTATGCACAAAAAGGGCTCTGTACAAAACCTGGGCTCTACACCCAGTACTGCAGAAGAACAAAAGAAAGAGGGCGAGAATCATGTGCAAATCTATCTTTTCCTCACGAACCCGCTCCTCGATGTGAGCATCAATCCACTGTAGAGCACAGAGCCCTCTCGACCTCATCAGCTCTTGAAGGTGCTACTTCTCAGCATGGCTTGCTGGGGATTAAACTTCCAACATGTGAACTTGGGGGACACATCCAAGCCACAGCACCCCTGCAGATGGTGGATCAGTGGTCACTGCTTAGGGGGAGCAGCTCTATACCAATGTGGGTACAGGCTCATCTGATGTTCGAATCCACACACAGTCTGGTTGCTTTGCATAAATTGTGTGTTTGTATGTGTCTGTGCGCATGTGTTCACATGCAGGGTTGGGAGATGCTCACTGCAGTGTTAGCTGAGGTCTTTGCTGGGTTTCAGTTCACTGTGCTGGCAGTCCTTTTTGCATTTGTTCACATTAGCATATACAGCTAGAATTAACATATGCATGTTAGAACAAGCTATGTTCACGTAAGTACACAAAGCAGACTCCAGTTCCTCTGCAGTCTGTCTAAGGAAGTCAGCCACACGTTTACTCCCTGCAGGCATGAAAGCTGGGTGGTGAAACAAGACCTTCCTCACCGGCTGATGGGAGGCGGCAATCAACCAGGATGGCCAAGGGCTTAGGACCTGGTGCTTGGCACCTGGTAGCATCATCTTTAATGGGGACTGACTGAATGACCCCAACACATGAAGTGTGGCACAGTGTGGCCTGAGAATGCCTGGCCGAATCACTGCTTTCGTCAGAATCTTAAGTCTCAGAAGCATCATGAAGGCACTGCAGGTGTGGGTGACTCGACTATAGACACAACCTGCCCCTGCCATGGACGAGAGCAGACTCCCTTAGCGGGCTCCCTGCAGGACACTGCTATGGGCTCTGTAGTAGAGCTCGATCGCGTACACCAACACTGGACACCTTCTGCAAAGCTCCCAGAATGACACTGGCATTTCAAGCTCTTTCCTGCTACCACCTCAGCTACTATGTCATCTCCTAAGGCGGGTGCGTGACAATCTGCAAGGCTGGACTTCTGTGCATGGAGAGAGGCCAACTAGAGGATACAGAAAGCAGAGCCTTGCACCAGACGCTGTCTTTCTAGAAAAACTTCAAGAGCCCAACCACAACAACAACAATTGGAGATTCTGTTATCAGGATGAGAAATTCCTGCTCAAAGAAATGGGCCCAATATTGTACTTGTTAGATGTCAGTAATACTAGCTGGCGCTTCCAGTGGTTTCATGTCCCGCGGACCCTGTTCTAAGCACCTATGTACATGAGCCATTTAACTCTCAGAACTATCATGCGGAGAAGGCACTCCTCTTACTCTCATTTTACAGATGGGGAGCACCGTAGCTTACCTGTCCAAGGGCACACTGTAGAGAGGCTGCTGCTTTAGAACAGAAACCACCACTCAGAAAAACATCACAGTTCAGTGACATTTCTTAAACATAACCGTGTCTGATCCTCACACCTGTCCTGAGCAATAGCTATTGGTTTGGGGTCACAAATGGGGAACCGAAGCCCAGAAAGCTGAGGGCATTCACCCCTCACCCAAGGCTCCTAGACCCAGACTGCCAGCTCTGTTAATTCAGGGGTCTGAATTCTTTGAGAACAAAATCTGTGCTTTCAAAATCTTAAAAACAACAACAAAATCCGAAGCCCCAGATGGGCTCAGCAATGACAACTGGTTTGGTCTTTAGGTTGTACTTTCAGTACTATCTTCAAGCAGCAGGGAAGGGAAATGGGTCGGTTTGTTCCTGATGGGAAAAACAAAGAGCTTTACGAGGACCTTTCGGTTGGTGCTAACATACTTGTAAAATCATTTCTACTCGAATAGATTTTAGTCTGCTTTTCATACGAACTTTTTTTTTTTTTTAAAGTCTTTAGGCAATGTAGCCAAAAGCTGAGCTAAAAGCAGAGCTACAAGCTGGGGCTCAGGGTCGTGGTCACATAAAGTGGTAGGAAAACATCAGGTGAACAACTCATCCCAAGGTGGCCCAGGGCCATCTTAGGAGGGCCAGGTGCCTGGAGAGAGCCCTGTAGCTGCAAATCTAGTGGCACAAAGGTGGCAGGAGGTGAGGGTGGGGTGCAGAGCACATCCTGACCGGAGTTGAATGCCAGGACCTGCTGACTGGCTCTGCGTCCCTTCTTCTAGAACAAACACCGTATGTATGAGCTTCTGCACAAATGCTTCACAAAGGGCCTTCTGGGCTGCCTTGCAACTTGACCCAGCTGGGTAAATGAATGGCAAAGGGAGGCCCCGAGGCCCTCAAGTCCCCAGGGCAAGCTGCAGGTGGCAAGCTGTCTCTTGGAACACGTGTGACAGCCACTGTGGTGCTTTAGTAATTTTACTCTTACAGGGAAAAAGCCTGAGAGGTAGCTAGATTCCCTAAAGCACACTTAGGGGAAGCTGTTGGAGTGCCACAGTGCACCCATAGAAAGCCACACCATTTGCCTTATAGCAGTTTAATAAAATGGCAAAATACACCCAGGAGAAAATGAGTAGTATCACAGGTTTGAAACAGGAACCTGTGTATCAAGCAAACGTCGCTCCATTTATAGGGAGAGGAACACCAAAAACCAAAACCATATAACTCTACTTCATGTGAACATTTGATTGTCAGGGCTTTAGACTTAATGAGACGCAGAAACTGGGGCTCAGTGTGAAGCCATGCTGCGCCCACAGGAGCTGCCCCTGTGCGGGCCGAGGCTCCTTCCCAGGATACCCAGCGGTCTGGAGAAGCAGCTTTGTAATAAGATGCGCCTCTGAAAACACCAGTCACCCCCCTATTTTCAAAGATGAGCCCAATTCCCATTCATACTTTTTGCTTTCACAGGTGAGGTGAAGTTTTATCTTTCTCCTTTTAATACAAACCAACCTGTACTTTAAAGGATGAAATGCAGGGACCAGCTTCTGCAACTGGAGATGACTCTTGCCTGAGGGCCACACTCCCCTGGCCACTGGATGCTGCCTGCTGAGGACAGAGGGACGGACAGCCCAGGGCACTCGGGTGCCATCACTGGGCTGTGAGAAGTACAGAGTCGCGGCAGGGCCAGGAGGCTCTGATGGCCCAGGGCAGGGCACGCTCCGGGATGCAGGGGCTGGCGACAGCTGCCATCAAGTTTGACACAAAACCTGAGCCTGACTCCACTTTCCCCATCAGCCTTATGTCAAAGCATCAGCACAGTACCAGGAATGAATTCCATTAACACAAAAGCTCATTTTCTCAACTCCTGCGTGAATGCATTATGTAGTTACAGGCCAGAGAGGCAAGTGCGATGCTTTTTATGCTTCCCGACCCGACTCTGATCCCTAGAGTACGTAAATAGCTTCCCGAGGCTGCTCCCTAAATGTGCATCAGAAGTCCTACTCCCCGTGCCACGCAGCCCAAATGAGTTGATCTGCTTTTGTCACTGAGTACAAAGAGGTCACCTGCTGCCTACATGCAGAATGTGAAAACCAGAGAAATGACTTAAGCCTTAAAAACAGAAATGACCTCCGGGCGCCTGTGGCTGGGCTTTAAAGGCAGTTTCCAGTATCTGTGGCCGCAGGCCGAGGTGAGAGTCCTTGCGAGTGGTGGGGTGGGGTAGTCTGTCTGCTGTGCCCATCTGCTGTCGTCCACCAGGGAGGATGCTACAAAAGGGGGAATTGCTGTGGCCGTTACTTCAGCGTCTTCACCATGTACGGGCCTTGTAACCTGTAGCCAATCTTCCTATAATAATTCCTGGTGCCAACCCCTGCGGAGAAGCCAGAGTGAAGAGCGGTCTGATTAGTGTCCCTGTAGAAACTTCCCACCCCAGCAACCACGTCCGCCTTGCGCCCACTCCCCTTCACAGGCCAGCCCTAGTTCAGATCGAGATTCAGTTTATACATTTGCAATATTTTTATTATGTTGACTTTAAGCTGTATGAAAATATAGCAACTGCTATGTGGGGAGGCATGTGGTTCCGTGGGTCACAGCAAATGTGTTTGCTCTGTTTCAGAGCCCTCAAGTGACACTGCAGGCAAAGAAGGACGAGGCCCTGCAGTGTGAGACTTATGAACTCCAAATGACGTCCAAGGTACCTGGTGGCTCCACACCGCCCCACGAGCAAAGGTACATGCAACTAATAGGGTCAGTACAAGGCAGACGGAGTCCCGGGCAGGCCTCTTCCTCCTAGCTGTCCAAGGCGAGGCTGCGCGAATAGCCTGGCATGTGGAAGCACAGTGTGCGGAGGGAAAGGCAGGGTCTCCGCGCCAAGCAATCCTCCACTGCTCTGTGGGCACCAACCGGGTGTGCCACAATTTAGCTCAGTCTGACACTAGCAGCTTAGTGAGTACAGGCCCCTAGGGAAGGGCTCGGCCTTATAAAACTGTCCCAACCTGGACATCAATCATGCATATTGGTTTGGGGCTCCCACAGCTGCTCCTCAGATAGGGAATCTGCTGTAAGGGCTTGCAGAACTCAAAGGAGTAGTTACTTAATGTTTACCGGTTGATTACAGGATGTGACAAAGCATACAGGTGAACAGCCAGGTGAATTGTGATGCGCCCCTATCTACAGTGCTCAGAAGCCAGGTGTTGAGGGGTTTTAGTGGAGCTCCACTGTGTAGACAGAATCAGATTTAGCTCTCTTTCCAGGGCCCACTGTCCCCCAGCATGGGGATGGGACTGAAGGTGCAAGCTTGATTGTCAATAAAGGCTCTGTTCCTTGTGGAGCAGCCCCCATGAGTCATATCCTTCTACCAAGATATACCAAGAGCTTCAGGGGTTTTGCATCAGAAAAGGGAAAAAGACCTGATAGGTATTGATTATTGGTCTGGATGAGGTGGAGCTGGGGTTGAGACCTGCCTTGTGGGCTGGTTCACAGGAGTGGCAGAGTAGGGCTCTTGGGGCAAGGAGATCTAGGTCTTTACTGACTTCTCACCTGTAAAAGCAGACCTATGCTCTAGGACTTGGAGGGTAAGTGGGACAGACATGTCCTCCTCCAGAGCAGGAGAAGGCAAAGCCCTGAGCGACGCCTACAGCTGCAGTGACCATGTTTTGTGACCGGTTGTTGGTTATATCTCTGGCTTTGTCTCCCCTCCAGTGCCTTAGTCACCCTGTCTCTGGCTCCCCTGGGCACGCCTGGCTCCCTCTCCAGCTGCAGGCCTACTGCCCTAGCCCACTGGCTCCCAGCTGTTTCTTCTGTGCAGGACCTGCCTGACCATCAAGGTTCCTGACTGTTGGGCAACCACGGCAGGGCTGCCAGTCCCTGGTGTCAGTTCTAGGGTATCCTGCCCACCACTGGGTTTTAGCCATTGGTATTGTGTCTAATAAATATTTACTCAGCAAACTAAATGGGAGACAAAAGTTCCTGGCAGGAATAAAATACTTGTTAGCTTTTCAAATCTATCCTAACCTTTAACCCAAATGGTCCACATTTGGGAACAGGATTTCCCATTATGTTTGTTTCAAGATCTTTTCAGCATTAAGGACATGGGACAGAAGCTAGCAGCAGAGCTACACGCAGGTACTGGTCCCCAGGGAACTTCTAGTATCCAAGAAGGTGACTCGGACTTGGCCTGCGCTCCTGGGCTCTGCCCCTGATGCTGTCTGCTTGGCTCACCCCCAGGGGCAACTCTTCAGCGTTTCCTATGTTATTGTCACTACTCCTGTTGGACATGGGCTTTGGTAGAAAGCAGGAGAAATACAAAGTCATGCATAAAGGGCATGGGCATCAGCTCAGGCTTGACGAATAAAGAAGATTCTCAGAAAACAAATCAGTTGCTATGTATGCCAGGGGCTTAGGTCCACGAGATACCCCACAAGCCAGCCATCACACTTGAGCAGAAAGAGAAATGCTTCTGTCCATGAAAATGTATGTTATTTATAAATCTCTAAACTGGAAAAAACCCAAGTAGCCATTAGTAGTAGAGAAAAGTGGCATATTCATTTATGGTAACACGACACAGTCATGACAACTGTCGTTGTCTGCAACAACATGGGTGAACCGCACACACCTAATCTTGTGTGAAAAATCGCACATCACGTTCCATTTCCACTAAGTTCAGACACAGGCAGGTCTAATTTTCTTGTGGCGGGAGCCAGACAGTGGCTACATGGCGAGCCTTCCAGGGCTCTGAAGAAGTTCTGCTCGTCCGGGAGTGGTTCCACGGGAATGCCCACACACTGACACCAACCGTACTGTCTCCTCAATGTTCTATACTTTCTTGTGCAAGTTATGCTTCAACTAAAAAGAAAAACTTAAAAGAGGAGGCACATCTGTTTCATTGTGTCCTGGGAGTGCAATGTGTCCAGAGAATACAGTGAAATGAGGAAGGAGCAGGATGAGAGAGCAATTAGGAGGCCACTGGCCATCGGCAGGACGCTCAGATCGTGGGGGGCACGTGCCGGGAGTCGCTCAGCACAGAGCTTTCTGCTCCACTCCCACCGGCCAGAGATGAGCGAGTGCTTCCTAAACTTAGCTCCCCTCAAAATAACAAGTCAGGCAGCCTCAGGCCTGACTTACTCATTCTAAGAAGACAATGGGCTTTTTCCCTTGTTTAGACTGAACTGACTTTGCGTGAAAGCTGCAGCAGGCAAATCACTGCAGGAAGTCACGGCGCGGGGTGACCCGGCTCCAGCGTGGCGGGTGTGGCCCTGCTGCACCCAGAGCCTGAGTCTCAGCAAGTCGAAAGCACTTCTGACTGAGAGGGTGTCCTGCCCAGGCATGAGCGTGTGTGCAAGTAGCAGGAGAGTAGGAGCAGGGAGACGGCCTGGCTCCCTCTCAGTACTGTGAAGCTAGCTGTTCTATCTACAGATTTGTTGTGATGCATTTTCTATTTGGGATATGCCATGTTGGCAGAGTATTTTTGTTGTGATAAAATTCAACATAAAATTTGCCACTGTACTGTTGTAAACTATGCAGTTCAGTGGCGTTGGGGATGCTCCGGCTGCTGCACAACTGTCGCCACCATCTTTTATCCTATAAACCCGAACGCTGTCCCTGTTCAACAATAACGCCACACGCCTTGGCAACCACCATTCCATTTTCTGCCTCTATGAATCTGACTTCCTTCAGGACCTTGTGTAAGTGGAACTGCACAGTGCTTTTCCTTTTGTGACTAACTTATTTCATTTAGCTGCTACTTTCTTGCGGTACCATCCCAACGTTTTCAAGGTCCAATCACGTTAGGGTTTAAGCCACTGTACTGGTCCATTGTCAGCATTATAATGAAATAGCCAAGGCAGGCTAACTTTATTTAAAAAACAGGTTTGGTTAGCTTTAAAGTAGGTTTGGGGGCTCCCAGGCAGGGGGCAGGCACTGGTACAGCTCTGGCTGGGGCCTTGGTCGTGTCACATCATGGCAGATGGCAATGGCAGAGCATGGTGGGACGGGAAGTCACACAAAAGTGGGCAGGGCTGGCAGGCTCTGATGGTCACTCTGGGAGACCTACATCAACCCAAAGGCAGCAGGCTCCGTGCCCTAGTGAAGCCCCGCCCCAAAGCCTAACAGGCTCTACACATGCACTCTGGGGGCTGTGCTTCCTCTACATGGCCCTTCGTGAGACACATTTAAGCCACGTATAATCCGCAGCAGCCAGGTGAGCTGCATTTGCTATTCTGTGTAACTAAAAATACTGTAACTGACACATAAGCTCAGGGACAAGAAAAGATAATCATGAGGTCAGGGCTCCCTCAAAAATCAGAATTCCTAGTGGCAGTTCTGACCACACCATCCTCCAGCCTACAATCACCAATGGCACATTCCAAAGTACAGCTCCAGTTCCCTAGCCTGCACGGGAGGGCTTTCCCGCCTGCCAACACTGACCTTACTATTTTCTTGTGTGGGATCTGCAGGTGAGGCAGCGCCACTCTGCCTGCCTGCTGGCATGGCTGCTGCTTTCTTGCGGTACCATCCCAAGAGCCGCCTGAGGTGCAGGGCCCGCCTAGTCTCCTGAACACTGTATCCTTCCTCTAGCCACCAGGAGACCTCCCTCCGGCCTCGGTGTGGACTGTCATAGTTCTATTGCTTTACGATCACATGAGCTGTTTCCCTGGCATGTCTTTCTTCTCTCCCAGAATGTCAGGTCTTTGCAGTCAGTCGCTTCTGTCACCAGTGCTTGCTACAGTGCCTGGCACATAATCACAATGCCTGGCAAGCACGAGGTCCTCAGTTAGATTCCAAGTACAAACAAACAAACAGAAACATCCACCACACACCCAGCCCAAAACGCAATAAATGCCTGCAGTTCTATTACCTCTAGTTATCTTCACGCTATGCATATAGGAAGAATGTGCTCCTGAAAGATGAATTTTGCGATGGCAATAGAGTAGCTTAATTTTTTTTTTAGGTACTAGGGACTGAACTCAGGACCTTGTGCTTCGTAAGCACGTGCTTAAACCGCTAACCTATCTCCCCGGCTCCTGAAGGGTGAATTTTTTTTTGGTATTTTTAGTACAGGGTCTAAAGGGTCTCACTACACAGATCAGACTTATAGTGACTCTCCTGTTTCAGCCTCCCAAGCACTGGGATTACAGGCACGTACCACCACACCCAGTCTCAATCACCATCTCAGCGCACCCCAGGGACAGGGCAGCACAGCATGCCTGGGGACTGAACCCGAGGTTGCTGCGCCTGCCTAAGTAGGTGCTTTAATCTGCTATCTGACAGGCCCTATGGTTGAATTTTAAAAATGAGCTCCATGTGATGTGCTGGGTAGTGGGAAAGACTGCATACAAAACAGCAGGCGGGCAAATTTCCTTGTCAGTTAAG